CAAACTCTTACATATCCCGTTTTAGCATACCTGGGTCGGACAAAACGGGATAGGGTTTACAATGTTTAATTTTTTGTGTAAAACTAACTAAAAACATAATTAATTGACAGAAAACTGTAAAGCAAAATTTCTAAAAATTGTATTTATGGGATTTTATTGCTTCTAACATTTTTATATAAACTGTTGCTTTATAATTAAGTGCACAAAAATTCTGATGCTACTTAAGTTTTTAAAGATTTTATGAGTTTTCAACCATGAACACTTATTCCATAATTTTCACTGTCGAGATGCGTCTGGTGCCCTTAAGAGGGATTTCTTATCAGTCCTTTCTTCAATTCTCTTGGTTCATTCTTGTAGTTTAATCATCCTTTCTTTTTCTTCCATTTATAATTCACTTTTAAATGGAGATGATGTTATTACTACAGTTTTCTTCTTTCTCTTATCAGTCATTTTTTCTGGGAGCCGTCCTCTTACTTGAGGTACATGTACAACACACTTTGGAAGGATGGAAAAGGGTAGCTTAGGTCGATAACAAGAAACTAATAATCGTAAAACTGCACACATCAGTCTGGTGTTCAATGCCTGGAAGTTTTTGCTGTTAAATCAGTGGTGACAGACAATGCAAACAGGTGATCTGGGATTGTAAGGACTTATACCAGTTTTACTAAACCCTTTAATGGTAGTTTCTGCAACGGCTGCCCGTGAGTAGGCTGCGTTGAACAGTTTTGTAACCTCGTAAATTATAACGCACCTACCTGGATGGTTGAACAGCCACTTTCGATCTTTCGAACTTCTTATTCATAATACGCGCTCAGTGGAGCCATGAATCTGATATCCAGGGACTGAAGGCGATGAGTTGTATGCGGGGGGAAGGCCATTTTTTCCCCTTTGTTAAAATTATGCTTATTATTGTTTCTCTCAGTTAACTCAAATGCTAGCATTCGTATACCCGTTAGAATTATACCAAATAATCTCTCTTCTAGAGCCAATACATGCTCACGCATTTTTTCTTGTTCAGCATTGAATACTGTCTCTTATCTGTCCAACTTTTTCACTACTGCCAATCCAGTGGTCAATGTATTTGTACGAGCCTTTTTTTACCTTTCTTTCAATGTAGTAATAATAATATAGTAAAAGTATTAGGCCAACAAATAAAGAGGTGAATAAAACGGGATATAAAAAAACTCTATCCCGTTTTATCTAACTCATAAGTATCCCGTTTCTCAGACACTTTTCAAAGCAAGCATGGCTGCTGCCTAAACGTGAAAGAAAAATTAGATTGACTAGACATGAGAATACTCGTTAATAAATGCTTCATCAAATGCAATACTCACCGGAATTGTGATCCTATATATATAGGCAGTACAATGTGAAAAACAACGCACGTAACTGTGGAAAGTGGCAAAAAAATGGAGTAAAAAAGTTCTGACACATACAACTTTCTATCAACTAGTGATCTCGAGACGGTACGCACTGAAAATGATGTAATCACAGTCAAATAACAAGTTTCTGTCTTCATCCGCTAGATAGCTGCAATAGTCTGGTCCCTAGGCCATGTATCCCGTTTTGTCCGACTATCCCGTTTTATCCAACTTTCCCCTATATATTCATAATTTATTAATTAAATTTTTATTGGAAAAAAATATTATTTTCAGGTACCGCGCTAAGCACTCGCCACCTTGTCAAATGCGGAGAAGTCATAATAAAAGTATTGGCGAATGATTATTTCTGCGGGATATATATATATATATATTAGATAATTTTTACAATCCTAACATATATCTCGTTAATGATTTGTAATCAAGCCCCGCGGTAGCTCAGGGTATAGAGCGTTTGCCACGAAGTGACTCCTGTTCGAATCTCAGTGATGGCTGGTCGATACGAATTCTGCACCATCCGACTCGCACCGACCACAGAGTTGACATAAAACATCCCCAGGGGTAGACGAATCATGGGTTAGAGTCAGTCCCCTTGCTGTCGGGCAAACCGTGGAAATTTTTCGTGATTTTACTCTCCATGTAACGCAAATGCGGATTAGTTAACGCAAATGCGGATCAGTCGGCCGAGGCCATCCCTTGTAGTAAAGGGTGACTGGTGCACGTTAAATATGTCGGGTCACAAAATCCTCTATGTCCCCGTAACAAATCAATACCTCTAAGGGAGATTGGAGATTGATCGTTGCCTGGGTCAGGTTAAAATTATGATCTGTGGGTGAATTAATGAACGTATGACTGGGTCCGCCCTATAACGAGCGTGACGCGTGGGTGGGGCAGAAGTCGAATTCTTGGCCATCGATGACCCCACTGGAAAGCAAGAACTTTCGCAACGTCTACCTTAATAGCTGACTACAACAAGTTGTATTCAATATCTATCCATCTCTCTCTCTCTCTCTCATATATATATATATATTATGAAATAATTTTATTTCTTTTCAGAAAAATAAAGAAGAAACGTTTTTAAAAAGATATAGTAAATAATGTTTCTAAAATAAATACCGTCATGTGGGGCTACTTTGTGCAAGATATCGCAGTTTTTGAACTTTGACAGTTTTTGAACTTTGAACAAAGTAGCCCTTTGTGCAGCCATAGGAATTCAGTTTAATAATCATTGTTAAAAAAGTTAATTGTTGACATTTTTAATTACAAAAACATCAAGATATGTAAAGATATTTGTTTGAAAATAACTTTCAGCGTTAAAAAACCATTTTTTATAAAGAATTTTTTTCTTAAAAAGAATGTTTATTTTAAAACATTTGAGNATATATATATATATATATATCGATCCTCAGAATTATACCAAAATAAATTTTTTAAACCAAATCAGTAATTTTTATTCGATTACAGTAATTTTCGGTAGATGCGCAGCATAACCAATTAGAGTTGGGTCCAAATAATATAAGCCGGAAACAAACTATATAAATAGTTTTTTTTTATAGTAAAATTCTTAAGATTTGCATTTGGCCCAAGTCTTTTGAAAATTAGCGAATACTTTTGATATTTGGCTAATTTACTGGCTAATAATTTGAAATCCTTAGAGCGGGCCCTGGTTCTGAAATTTATTTCTTCATAAGCATTTCAATTAAAAGATTTCACAAAAATAACGGAAATATTAAATTAATAACGGATTATTAATTTAATATAAATTTAAATACATGTTTCAAAAAATAAATGAGTAAAAAAAATTTCCAAGTCTCAAAACCCCTGTGACTCCTCCACGGAACACCTATTTGATAATAGATTTCTCTCTATATTTTTATTTTTATATCTTTTTTATATCACTCCTTTGAAAAAATGTTTTAATAAGTTAATTTTTATTTAATTCAGTTAAATAAGTTATAAGTTTTAAATCAGTTCATTTTTATACGTTGACGTGATATTTGATAGGTTGTTTGGAGCTTTCACTATGGACGTGATTGCTAGTTCTGCCTTTTCGACCAAATTAGATTCTCATAACGATCCAGAAAATACATTTGTTCGATATGCAAGAGCAGCTTTTAGTACTAAGATCAGTTGGAGAATGCTTCTTTTTCGTAAGTATTCATTTGCAATAATTTTTAATCGAATGTAGAGTGCGCAAAATAAAAAAACGAACCACCCTCAATAACTTTTGATCTAATGATAGGGTCTTCAGACTCAATATTAATGGCTCAAGAGGGTGACATGGTTATCAATTAGGGTAGACGATATTTTAAGTTAGGAAATCAGATACAAAAACTTACTTTCTCTGATAAAGCATACTTTTTTTCCCTTGACGGATTCCTGACCCCTCGAAACAAAGGGGGCAGCCACAATATGGAAAATATGATTCGAATAGTTTGGCCTGGAGTGCAGTCCAAAGTTTGGTCCCCTTAATGTTAATTTTACTTTTTGCGTTTTTTGCCAATCTCATTAACTTTTTAAGTGAAATGAGTAATATTTGCACGCAATTATAAAATTCATTTATCCAAAGGTAATTCCATGCAAAAAAGAAATTTTAGTAATTGTTTATTATTTTTTATTTAATATTAGTCGAAGAAAATTTTGAATTGTAAGGTATAAAATTTTTTTACATCATTTTAAACAATTTAATTTTGCGTGGCAAAATACAAAATATAAACAAAATCTGTCAAATTGAATTTGCATACATTTGAGAAATTGAATTTTTAAAATACCACTTCTTTGAAATTAAATTTCTCAGGAATTATTGGACCGATTTAACGAAAAGTTTGTATTTTGTTATGTAAAATTATGTTACTTAAAATATCGTATTAAAATGATGTAAAAATTGTATACTTTAAAAATCAAAATTTTTTCGACTATTATTAAATATGATAAATATCTACTAAAAGTTATTATTCTTTTTTGTGTGAAATTATTTTTCGATAACTGAATTTTATAATTGTGTACAATAATTTTTCAATTCGCTCGAAAAGTTATCGAGACATGGCAAAATACACATTATTAGCAAAATTAACATTAAGGGGTCCAAACTTTGGACCACTTTTCTGGCTAAACTATTGGGTTCATATTTATCAGATAACGACTTCCCTCTATGTTTTGGGGATCGGAAATCCGAATCCGCCGAGTTAGAAAAGGCAAGTTTATTTAGAAAAAGTACGTTTTTGTGTCTAATTTCGTAACTTAAAATATCGTCTATATTAATTTATTAACTATCATATTTGAGATTGCCTCTTCGAATGACTAAGTTTGAGTACTAGAATGTGAAGATCCGATCATTAGATCAAAAGTTATTGAGGATGGTTTGTTTTTCATTTTGCACACTATACAAGACGGGGTAAGTCAAAATAAATGTCTCAGTTTCATAAATGCTTTACGCATAAAATGCACACTCTTGCAAAAAGCAAGTTTTGAATGTATCCCTGTCATATTTTCGATACGCGTTTCTTTTCTTATACGGCATTCCCACCGCCCAACCATTGTCGAGCATTTAGTCCCGTTTTTAGGGCTTTATCTTTTAACAGGCAATAATGCCATGTCATTAAGACCCCGGTCAGAGGACGCGGACGACGCCTGAGCAAGCACCCCCTTCTCTAACATTTCATACCACAGCCAACGATAGGATTTTCATCAGCGACAAATTTAACCTGCACCCTATACTCTGGTTGTTTTGTGGGCTTCCAGGCACGAACTCATGACCCTTATATAGCATACACCAAGTCTCTAGCTGCCATCGATTATTCTGGATAGCAGCTGTGATACGGACCATCAAATCAGTCGGACTTGGAGACACATACACGTGATCTTTTACGATCCCTCATTGGATGAAAATTGCATCGGTTGAGAATTGGTTATCGCGGTGGCCAATGTAAGAGCGCGACAGATAAGCAAGCAACCCACCGTTATGGTAACGTGTTATGAAAGTGGCGTTGTTTTTTCGGCGCATTTTGTTTCCACAGAAAATGGGACCTATGAAATGAGGGATTTGTTTTGACTTACCCTGTAACGTGTTGATATGAATGTTGATATGTTGTATGATAAAGTGTTGAGATATTGTTTGATAAAGTGTTATTATTTATTTTAGTGCTTGCACCCAAATTAATGAGCTTCTTTAAGATGTCAGTTTCCAATCCAACCGTCACAAACTTCTTCAGCGAAGTGACTGCGCAGATTATAGCTGAAAGAAAAAGGACAAAACAAGTAGGCTCATTTTATTGTTTAATTTTCGCTTATTTGTGTATTTTATTATAACTCACTTCCGAGTTGGTGCGAATAGAATCTTACAATAAAAATTTTGTCCACTTTCAGACTTAGCTAGAGCATAGGTTCCCAAAGAGAGCGCTATCGCTCTCTCCAGTGGGCGGTGAGGACTTTAAGGACGCACTAGCAAAGTTTGGAGTATTTAAGAGATGTTGGAGATTTCTATAGGATTGTTAAAACGCTGTGGATGAAATTAGAGTTGCACACACTTTAAAATTCATAAATACACTGTTCAAAAAATTAGAGGAGCACGTGGATTTAACAAAATTACGCGAATTTTTTTTTCTGATCACTAAGCCAAAACAAAATATCCATAATCTTAAGTATAGCAGAAAAGAACAGAAGAAAATTTAAATGTAACTAGAAAAAGGGCCAAAGCAAAAACCAGAATCCAAGTGCAGAAATCTTGATTTCGCAGAAGCTGCTGTCTTTTATTACCTGTGTGGTAAATTAAACCTTTCGACTTTTGTTTAGAGGAAAATTTACTTACAAATGATATGACAACGTGATCTACCCGAATTCATGGCTAGGCGTATTATCCGGAGCCTGTAATTCGGACAAACACAAAGAAGTGTAGCGGAAGCAGTTGAAATTGCAACAAGTGGTGTCATTGCAAAACTGGGATCGAATCTGAAGAAAGGGGCATGTTTGACAACGTCCGGGACCAGGTCGTTCACGTCCTACCACAGCATAACCAGGTTCGAATCCCAGCGATGACTGGTTACGCATCCGGTTTGCACAGACCACAGTGTTGATGTGAAATATCCTCAATTGTAGACGAATCATGGGTTAGAGTTTCCTCACCGTCAGGGTAACCGTGGGAGGTTCTCGTTGTCTTCCTCTCCATGTAACGCAAATGCAGGTTAGTTTCATCAAAAAGTCCTCCCGTAAGGCAAATTTCTCCCAATACTTGATCCAGGAAATCCCTTGTCTTCTGGATTGGGTTCAAACTTACAAGGCTACGAAGTTGAACATTAGTCGCAGTAAACCCAAAAATTGAATTAGCTGTTCAAAGACGGTTATAAAATTAAAAATATTCGTTCAGGAAGGATTACATTACAGTCAAAGTGGTTTGATTGTATGAGCTGGATTGATTGTATGATCAAATTTTATTTCATTCAGAAATGCAATTTGACGGCTCATAGGTACGCAGACGATATCCTGAGACCGCATGTCGTATCTTAAGCTGCAGCCATTGGTGCTTACTTTCTTTTAGTAACGGACGATGTCAGACCTCATACAGCCTGTCTTGTGGAAAACTTTCTTGAAGCTGATCCTTGCGTGGGATGTATTTGGACAACGCGTTGCTGCAAGACCAAGACTTGGAGATCGTACCTCGTCTAGAGTGGGACAGTATTTTCTAAAGTCTCATCGATATCCTCATCGCATCCATGCAAAATAGGTGTGTGTGGAAGTCGTAGCAGTTCGGGGAATCACACACTATATTAAACATCTTGTATGATTTTAGTACAATCAGTTTTTTTGTCCTTAACATGTTATCAAATTGTTGCCTTGAAACATCACTCTATGTTATTTTTATCATCTCCATCTATGTAGACCAGAAATGATTTTCTTCAACTGTTGATGGACACGGCTGAGGAGACTTATAAGAGTGAGAAAAAGGATGACGTGGATGATGATGACATTGCTGCAAAGTATGGACAAGATTTCGTCAACCAAACCATTTTTAATACATCGGAAAATAAAAGTAAGAGTCATTTTCATCATTCTTTGTTTGGATCGCTAGTGAGACAATTGTTATAAATAATTGGTGTTTTTTTCCTTCCTTTTAATAAGCGGGAAATTTAAAATGCTCTATGTTGAAGAGTTAATAAGCTTTTAAGGTAGAATAATCGATTTATACCGTATCCGCTATTTCCATATGTAAAAAAATATAGATTTAAATTATATGAGCATCAAGAAGAAATTATGAATAAGAAATAATAACAATAAATAAATAAAACAATAAATCAAACAATATATAAATAAATAAATAAACGACTTTTAAAGAAAATTTGCCTAGCTGGACCCCATAATGGCGTTATTTAGGGTCCTTAATTGTTTTTCTTTTATTAGTTTTTTTCGAAAATATTTTAAAAAATGATATTACTTCATCAAGATTTTATATTATTTAACTTTATTGTATTTCAAATATCACGAAAGATGATCCTCAGTTTAGACAATATCTTCAGTTATTTTCGTTCAATTGTATTTGAAATTTTGTAATTGAAGATCTTCAATGAGGTTTTGCTTTTATTGCATTTCAGGTTTCATGATAGATGATCTTCAATTCATTCAAGATTTTCAATTATTTTTCTTTATTTTGTGTTTCGAATTTTGTGATAGGAAAAAAAAATCTTTCATTTATACAAGATCTTCAACCATTTGCTGTTTCACTATAAATGATCTTTCAATTTATTCAAGATATTCACTTTTACTCTTATTTCAGACCTCTCGACAGATGAGTTGGTGGCCCAGTGTGTCATTTTCTTTTTGGCTGGTTACGAAACCACAGCAACATTATTAACTTACGTCCTGTACTGCCTGGCTCTGAATGGGGACATTCAGGAAAAATCTTACCAGGAAATAACACAATGCTTAAAAGAGACAAATGTAAGAAAGTATTTTAACACCTCTGGCAATAGTATGAATAATAATGGATGGACGTTTTTTCTCGTATCCGCCATTTTTCTAAGTAATAACATAGGAAAATAGATTTCCCTCTGCAGTAAAGAATGGAGATTAACTTTTTTAGCGACCACCAGAGGGTTAATTTTTATATCTAATCTAAGCATAATCCCGGTTGCAGAATTGATAAAGTGAATTTACTGTTCTGGTTTAAAAAATCCAAATTTGTCTGCAACCTCAACGTACCCAAGTAGCACATAATATTATATAACATCAGAAAATCGTTAAAATCTAACGTTATCTTGCACAACTTCTAATATTAGAAAGATACAAAAGATCGCTGTTTGCTCAGCCTTATATAATATTAGATTCTATACAAACTAATATTATCTAGCATTCGCCATAATATTATTTTGCATTAGTTTTGATGCTATATAATATTAGATTTTGAATTTTCTGATATTATTTTGTTTCGCTTTTTATTTTTTTGGAGTCGGACGCCGATTATTTCATTTTACTTTATAACCGGCGTTGAATATCCGACCCAATTCTGAGTTTACGATTCAATGTTAGATGGATTACTGCAGTGATTCTCAACCTTTTTTTTTTTTTTGTTTCGNTTTTTTTTTTTTTTTTTGTCGTTGCGCACTTTTAACGATTTCAAAGTATGGCGGCACACAAAGAAAAAGATAAGTTTAAAATTTTTTTACTTACCTATAATAACACTGTGTAAATAGTTTATGATAATAATTTGGAATGTAAAATAAAATAATATAATATGTACTTCAAAAGCAACAGTACGCTTATTAAGGGATTAATTACAAATAAACAATAAGAATACTTTTAATGAGAAATTTGAGCTTGATGTTTTTTGATAATTTCATTTATATTTGGTTTAAAAAATGACAATCTCATATCGTCTTCTGCATTTAACAGTCTCGATCTTTTTTTTCGTTTTTATGTTGGTTAATACTGAAAATCCGAATTCACACAAATAGGATGTAGAAAAGTGTAATAATATTTGCAAAGATTTTTTGACTACCATGGGATAATCGCATCTAATGTTAATCCAAAATGAATTAATTGATTCTTCCGAATATTTTAAAATTAAATCTCGATTGTTAGAAAGCGAAATTAGTTCTTCCTCTTTATTTAAAGTTAATTCAAATACAGAAGTATTCGTTATGACAAATAGATTACGAACGCAATCAAATTTTTTTATATCTAAATTTGGGAAATAATGAATAAATCTCTCCTCTAATGTTGTCAAATAGTCAATAACAATTTTTTGAATAGTTTTATTTAAATCATTTGGGACTGATTCAAACTTTTCCAAATATCCTACCTGAGCTTTATTTTTCCATAAAGTTGTTTTTGGAATCCCACCAGTTTATCTGTTGAGTTTAATATATTTTCGTTCGCTCTTGCATACTTGAATTTATGTTATTAAAAATTACAAAAATGTCTGCTAAGTAAGGTAGTTTAGCACACCATATTTTATCTTCCAACAAATGAACAAAATCATAATTTTTATTTATGTTCAAACAGCCGACCAGGTGGTCGAGTGGTTAGCGTGCCTGACTGCGGAGCCGATGGTTGCGGGTTCAAATCCCGCTCTGGGCATGGATGTTTCTTTCTCTCTGTGTTCTAAGTCCTTTTTCCTTTGTGTGTGATTGTGCGAATGTGACCCGCCCTATCAACGGGTTTGTGGTTGTGTGACGTGATCGACGCTGCTCCTCCGCCGTGGCTTCGACACACGTGCCCGCTGGGTAACGAGAAGAGAGTAGCAGTTCTGGCACTCCTGTAGCGCATGCGTATGCTGAGCAGCTCCCTCTGAACGGTGGATGGATCCGAATAAATAGACGGCTGTAGAGAGGCGTGTATCTGTGGTTATCTGCTAGTGGTAAACGTTTGCTCAGTCGTTACTTATGCCTCTTCGACCAAAGAGAGTGAGATTTCAACAACTTACGGAGTTTGAACGCAGGAGAATCATCGGCCTTCGTGAAGCTGGATTATCTTACGTGCAGTAGCCGCTCGTGTGCAGCGTAACAGCAGCACAGTGATGTGTGTTTGGAAGCAGTGGACGGACGAGTGTCGGACAACTCGAAAATCCGGGAGTGGACCCTGAAATGGCACATCAGCTCGCGATGATAGACACCTGGTCCACATGCTGCATACGAACAGTACGACTCCCTCTAGACAACTGGCAGCACATTTGTCAATAGCTACAGGTGTTTCATTGTGTGCTTCTTCAATTGATAGACGTCTGATGCAGCGTGGACTGCATGCAAGGACTTCTTTACACAGGTTTCCTCTCACGCTAAACCATCACCGCCTGCGGCTACAATGGGCCAATCAGCATAGGGCCTGGCGTACTGATTGGCAGCGTGTCGTGTTTTCTGACGAATACCCCTTTAATTTGTGGTACCATGATGGCCGCATTCGTGTCAGACGCTATGCCGGTGAACGCCACCTTCCGGAGTGCATTATCGAACGCCCCAGTGAACGAACACCCGAAGTTATGGTCTGGGGTGCCATAGCATATCATGGACGATCTCAATTGCTACGAATTGTGGGTAATCTGAACAGCAGCCGGTACATCAGTGAAGTTCTACAGCCCCAAGCTGTTCCCTTCCTTCAAGCCTTGCCAGGCGCTGTATTTCTACAAGACAATGCCCGCCCTCATATTGCGAGGACTGCTCAATCCGTCCTTGCATCGCGGCAGGTACAGCTACTTCCTTTGCCTGCGTATTCCCCGGATATGTAGCCGATTGAACATGTGTGGGATTTCGTTGGTCGGTGCCTCGCTCGCGATCCTCGTTCTGTTGCTTCTACAGACGAACTTTGGGTACGCATACAATCAATATGGAATACTCTTCCTCAGACAGACATTCAAAATTTGCTTGACTCCATGCCATGTCGTGTAGCAGCACTTATTGCGGAGCGTGGTGGCTACACAAAATACTGATTTCGATCTCTTGTTATTGTTTGTTTGCTTTCAAAGTTTAATCATTTATGTGTACCACTACCATTCAACTGTGTATTAAATTTCATTCAATAACGACGATTCCTTCATGGTGTTGCAATTTTCACAAACATGAGTTTATATAAGTACTTTTCGTTAATTTAAACTTTACTCGTAATAAAAAAAGCATTACAATTTTTACTATATACATTTCTAAAATTTGGTGGCACACTTTAAGAATTAGGCGGCACACAAAAGTGCCGTGGCACAGTGGTTGAGAATCACTGGATTACTGGATAGAATCCCCTTGTCACTGGACTAACCTTGGTAGGTTTTTGTAGTCTTCCCCTCCATGTAACGCGATTGGCGATCGCAACGCTCGAATACACCATCTGGGGAGAGACCGGCTTTATGCCTTTGGCCCCTCTCCCTTCCCTATCCTCCTCTTTTCAGTTGTATAGGAATGTACTACGTTATGTTCCCTTTTTATTTAATAAAAATATTTTTTAAAATTTCCGTGATACTTTTCTCTAGAGCTATGTTTAATGTAGTTTTCAGTTCCATATAGTAGCGAGTTTTGCTCTACGCCACCTGCAGCCCATTTCGATCACCATACGGGATAGTTCCCTCGAAAAGTCCTCCATGATGGCTTATTTGTCCGAATGCTTAATCTTGGAGCTCTTTTGTTTACTTGGTTGAATTCGAAGTTGAACATTGATAGCCGCAAACTTAAAATTGGATTGTTTACTCAACGCTGGTTATAAAATAAAATATAGACATCTTGCGCCAAATGAAACGAAACGTGTAGCAAAATGTTCATTCAAATAACTAAATAAAATCTCTTAAAAAAACTGGGGAATTTTGAATTCTTTGAGGGGAAGATGATTTTTTGTGGGACTCAGCACATGTGAATGATCTAAAATCCATTGCAAAGATTAAATTTTTTTGCGTTTAAAAAAGTCAAAAAAGTTTTAGACTGAAAAAGAAGAAAAAGGCAAAACTAATTCATTTTCTCTTTACCAAACGCAATATATAAACGTTTTCTTTTCTTGTTTTTCTTTTTTTTTCTTTAATGAAAAATGCATTTTTTAAATGTAAAATTAATTTTTTAATGTACCAAACATAGTAGTCTACTAAGTCATTCTTTCGTACACGCTTAAAGTTATTTTTAAATCTAATAGCATTAAAAACATAGCTGATTTTTAAACCTGATATTTTACATAAATGTTATTGGTTATTTAAACCTGTATATTTTATTAACATATAGGGTGAATTGACCTACGAAGCTTTACACAACATGAAATATTTAGATAACATCATTTCAGAGACTTTAAGACTCTATCCGCCAGGAGTGAGGTAAGTAAATTCGTTCTTCTTGTGTCATGCTAGGCTTGTAGCTCTCTTAGTACAGCAGATTATTAGATTTTAAGCTTTGTGTAGTTTTTATTTACGTATTTTTTTAAAATTTGCTCCATATATTAATTTGATATTTTAATATCCTTGTTAAATTACTTAGTGCTAAGATAGCAGATCATACTGGCAAAAATTAATGGTTAAAAGAAAAAAGATAATACTAATTGATTTATTATAATTTTTTCCATTCATTTATTCCCAGGCAGGTTATGGGTAAAAGAAGTCCCATTACTGTAGGATTAAACGTGAAAAATTTATGCGGAAAATTATGAGCCCCGAAAGCTTTCTGAAATTCAATCACTCTTGTTTTTTTATTGTCTATGCATAAATTTGTATGATAAACTTCCATACGGCTATGAAGAAATGTTGCCATAGCCTATGGAAAAATTTATTTAAAGGCTGCAGCACACCATTATTTTATGACAAAATTTAATGTATTAAAAAATGCCACAGGATATCCCGATGTGGTTTTATCTATGGTAAAATTTTATCATGTACTTTTCCCTTATACCTATGACACAAACTTACCATACGCATATGGTACAAACTTTACTAAATAAAAAAAATATGTAAAAAATTTGCCATACGTTTATGGCAAAATTTTACCTTTGGCAAAACACCATAGGGATGTTTAATATAGGAATTATATAATATATATATATAGGAATATTTATGTAGAAATTTGATAAATTTTTTATGGCAAACTTATGACAAATTTTCCTAAGGGGTCCAATCGTCCATTTAATTATCCCCATTAGTAGCCAGGTTATACGTAAAAGAAGTCTCATTACCGTCGGCCTAAATGTGAAAATTATATGTGGGTTTAAATTCACCCTACAAATTTGTTGTTTGTAATTCCAAAGTTTGTTCTTCACATGCAAAGTATTTAGTATTTTAACATTTTGTAAAGACGTATAGTTTTACTTGAAAAGTCTTTTTGCTAAACTCGGATACATAAAAGAAAATGTTGCATGCATATTCATAAAAAAAACCTTAACATAATAGTGGAACAGTATTGCAAAGTATAGTTTCCTATCAATCCACACGAGACATTAAATTGGTTAGTTTAATTCAATTTTTGTTTTAATTGTGGTACTTTTTGAATATTAGTCATTTTTTCAGAAAACAAAAAGGTTACAAACATAGGAAAGTAGCCTAAATCGTACCACTTTTCACATTTTAATTTTTATCAATTACAAATCACTGACAATTACAATTGAAATATCTTATTAATTAAATGCAGTTATTCAGCTTCTGAAATTAATAATATTATTTGGTTGTGCAGCAACTACTTTAAACTGTTTTCAGAAACCGCTTACAAGTTACTTAATTCGTACCAACCTCAAAAGTATTGAGCATTTATAATTAAGTGAATAAGTATACTACGAATAATCTGAAACAATTTTTTAATAGCAAAAGAGATACTGCGATATTAAATTTTTGAAATGTTACAAGTATAGTGACAGCATTATAAGCTTACAAATGGTTAATGGAACATGATACATGATGTTATGGGTAACAGAGTTCTAGTGTGATTTTATATGTGCTGTTTGAAAACAGGACTTGATTTTTCTGCATGCATCTCCACGTCATAAGAGATTCCTAATTTATTTGCTAAGGCGTTCTCTAGTTAATAATTGTTTAGAAATCAGAAGTGGTACGATTTGGAGAACTTTCCTTTATGCAACTAACCTGTTGCTTTCAAGCCAAGCTTCAGCCATTGCACTTTTGCGACTTAAGTTAAAAAGGCGACCCTTTCGTTTCGCAAGAGAGCACCGCAAAGGTGAAAGTAAATCTTAGCTCAGATCCCAATGATAGATGGCAGCACTACTCATTCATGAGGCCATTTCCTCAATTTAAATACAGATCTGAATGGAAAGGAAATTTTCTCCAGATTCCTGCGCCCATGGTGTAGAATCTGATAAAATTCAAAACCACTGGATGACACCTTATAATGAAAATATAACTCAGATTGATTTAAGAATTCGATGAAGGCAGATGTAAGCCTAATGTACCAAAATAAAATTTTGTTATTGTTTAAAACGAGAGCTTATCCTTGAATTTACACATGGTACTGCTTAACGACAGACTATATTACTTTCGATTAAACATATTTTACGAGGACATCTATCGTATGTACTCGGCGTGTCTTAACGGAGTCGAGGATCGAACCCCGAGCCGGAGACCGGATCTCCAATTAACGTGAATTGGATGACGTTATTGATTGGTGATAGCATGTATCGTAGCTAATAGACTAAAATTAAATAGCTTTTTTTTCTCCATCTAGAGCTGAACGAAAGGTTGCATCAGAATATAAATTGGGCGACACTGGTATTACTTTGGAAAAAGACATTATTGTTAGCGTTCCTATATTTGCTATCCACCGAGATCCAAAATATTATCCAAATCCTGAGAAATTCGATCCAGATAGGTAACCATTTTAATACTTTTCTTTTTTTACTTGTAGTTTCTAAACTTTTTAAATTCTTTTGTAAAGATATTTTCTGTTTATTTCTTTATATCGTTTTCAATATCATTTCCCCCTCTTCAATTCGATTTTATGTTTATAATAATACATTTTTTAATAGTATGATCTAGTTAGTGTTGTATTATTTAGTACATTTCTTCATTAATAATTCAAAGAAAAAATTTAATTTAAAATGATTGAAATTTTTAAGACAGTTATTAAAAAATAATAATTGTTGTTTTTAAAAACTGTAATGCGAGATAATAACTGAAATATATCAAAATAGAAATTAAAAATAATTATTTGATTTAAGTAAAATATTTCAAAATAATGATTAAAATACTTTAAATTAATGATTAAAAATAAAAGTTTAAAAGAATTTTATAAAAATATTTGAAAATTGTAATTTTTCTTCCATCAGCATGACAGTCTAGTACAGGTCACAATTTCCCCCTACTCCTACTGGCTTGATCAGACACTATACGTTTATTGATTTCCAAGATTTTAAGATCTTTTCCCGCTGAATCAATCCATCTAGTGTTTGGTCTTCGGTTGCCAATAAAGTTTCCAAAAGATCAGCCTCTTAACTGGGTCACCATCATCCCTTCTATAAATGTGACCCAGCCATCTTATTTTATAGGATTTATTAACTGGATTTATGTTTGGTTGCTTAAATTTTCTGCATAATTCATAATTGTTCTGAATTGGCCAAACACAGTGTTTTCTTTAACAGTTCCGAAGATGGCTCTGACTATTTTTCTTTCAAATATTAGAGTATTATCAAGTATGTAATTTTCATCGGTTTTATTTTGAGATCAGCAGTCGCTGCCGTAGAGAATTAGCTTGATTGCTGCCAATGAAAATTAGCTTTGATTTTAGTTGGTTTCTCAATCTGAAACGACATCATTTAGCAATATATTTAAAAAAAATAAAAATTTTTCTTCTTCTAAAATGTAGGTAGTTCTTTTTAAAGCGACGGTATTAAATGATGACGAAATCTTTTTGTCTTCTTTTGAAAATCAATCAGGGGTATCAGATTAACAGGTCCCGCGCTAAGCATTCGCCTCCTCGCCAGATGCGATAAAATCGTAAATTTAGCGAATGAAATCGTGTTTTGGCGAAAGTATTGGTGAATGATTTTTTTTCACT